ACATGATAATACAAAATTATATAGAACTTAGAAAAGAAACATAAAATAAAACATAAAAATGATTTATAAAATTACACATAAAATTACAAAATTACTCAATATAAAATATTTCCATAATGCTCCCATACATAAAATGATTTTTTTGGAAATGTTATGTTTTTATATTTTAATAATTCTAATGTATTTGAATTTATATGAATATATTTGAAATAATTGAATTTAATAGAATTATTTGTAAGATATATAAAGTATAAGGATTAAAATAAAATATGAGAAAGATTTTGAGGGTGTGAATAGTGCACCCTCAAATTTGGAGGTGCACTATTCACACCCTCAAAAAATAAGGGTTTGAGGGTTTGTTGAAGTTCAAAAAACCTTCAAATTTAAAGGTTTGAGGGCTTGTTGGAGATGCTCTAAGCAACATCAAAATAAACTTTAAAAACCCCTTTGGACTGGGATGCAATATCTGATGCTGCTTTGGTCAAAGAATGACTTTATCTCTTGCATATAAACACATTAAAATCCAAATACCAAATCTTCATTTCTATTGATTAATCTCTTCCTATCAAGATTGAAATAAAAGTAATCAAAAGCATGATTGCCCCTTTTCTACCCTGAGAAACTACATTGCTAGTATCTAGTTTAGATACTTTGTATTAAAATATATATTTTTTAAGAAAATATGAAAGAGAAAGAATAATCGGTTCTAAAAGAATCGTTAGAAATTCTCTCAATTTCTCAAAATATAACTTTTTTTTATCAATCACACATTATTTAAAAAAATAACTCAAAATATAACTTTAATAAATTAATATATTATTATTTCTTTAAATATTAAATCAAAAAAGAAAGTTAACAAGTTATAGTGTGTCATGTGTTATGAGTTAACTTTTGTAAGAGATGATGGATGAAGATGCTCTAAATGACTTATTTTTTATTTAAAATTAAAATTTAATTATTTATATGAAATGTATTAAAATAATAATACTTTATTTTTAAGATACACTTTTTGCGTATCAAAAGGATATAGACGCTCTTAGACCTTTCCCACTTGCTACAAAGGGTCCTCCAAATATGTGGCTGTAGAAAACAGAAACGCTTGTACGGAACTCATCATAAGCGTTGGTACCGAACTCATCATAGTCGTTTGAGAACAACATGTTACCTAAAGTATCAAATCACCAATAGCATTCTACGGAAGTCTCAACTGGATCCTATAGAAACAATTTAGCAAAAGACAAAAAAGTCAGATGCATAGATTACAAATGAGATCAGTTACATGAATGGTATCAAATTTCAAGTCAAATTTACAGTAGCAACAAAGAAGATTCTCTTCTTATCGTCATAGAGGACCTGAAATGTGTTAACACAATTGAACCATGACTCTTCTTTCTCGCCACAAAGCTTCCGATAAGTGTTTATGACTATCAACGCATAGTTTTTGTCATCTTAAATGCCGTATTAGATTATGTAAGTACCTATGTTACTAAGTCTTAGTAAGGTGTCGGCAGTTATATTTTCTTCAAGTTATCAAAGAGTACTAGCGCAACTTTTTGTTGATCGCTCTAAGTAAAAACACAAATTCTTGCTATTTAAATTTGTATTTACATGTCATCATCATCACGATGTTGAGTTTAGAATGCCTCACTCAAAATAGTAGGGTTGTCGGTTTCTTTGTTCAACCCTAATTATGTAGCCATATAAGATATGATCTTTATGTTACCTCGTAGAAAACATAAGTTGTTGCCTTTTATGGTGAAAGTTTTGTACAATTTCAAAGATGATAATATCTTGATTCAACTTCAAAACTTATTAAAATTGTGATTATATATTTGCTTAACAATTTCTCATGTATATCTTGTATAAATTATCTTCTATATGTCTCCTTTAGATCATATTGCTAGTATACACATTTAGTACCCATCATTTCTCTTTAGTACACAATTTGTTGTTCCGTTAAATTCATCCTTTAGGAACACCGTTTGGCTACCTATCTACCAATTATTCGAAAGACACAATGTTTCCATGAAAATTAGTGCTTCAAGTTGAATTGTATTTACCCGTTCCAACAAAAAAATTGGCAAAAACATTGATAGGTAACGGTTACAAATGAGAAAAGATTAGATAGATGATATCAAATGTAAATGCCCCTATAAATAATATACCGTATACTTACAAGAAACTGGAAAATAAATAATATACCAACCAAATACATTTTTAATATTGCTGATTATGTTAAATTGAACAAAATGGAAAGTGATAAATCACAAAAATAGGATATGAACATTCCTTTATTATTTACCAATATTGAAAAAAGAAATTGTTGATGCAAGCAAATTAATAATATCTTCAAATTGATATGCATTGGCCAAATTGATTGCTGGAAAAAAAAATATTAGTAGGATTATAAATGGATAACTAGATCATCACCCGTACTAAAGTACGGGTTGAATTTTATTTATTACAAAATTTATATAATATATATATTAGAACTAAGTTTTAATATATTATAATAATAAGTGAAAAAATATTAATTTTTTTGTCAGTCCCTATATACAATATTAGAATAAATATATAATTTTTTCTATAATACTCAATTATGGATATTTTTTTTTAAGATATGAAAACGGAAAATAATTTTATTTTTTAAAAAGTAATATTTTTTGAACAATGAGTTAATTTATGTTAACAACCACAAAATAGGATTGCATATATTTCAGTTAGATCAAAAATTAAAATACCATAAATAAATCGCATATAAAACATAGATTATTTTGAATTAATTAAGAAAATTAGCTATTGTTTTGAATTAATTTAGAAAATTCTTTTTCAATTTATAATTCTTTGGTTGTTGAAATAGAGATTTGTTTGAGCTAATCTAATTACAGAATTTGTTTGAGAATTATAATTACGGAATTTACCAATTATTCGCATAATCGAATATGTTATAAACATATATTTAGTATATAATAATACCAAAATCAACCCGTGCGTGGAGTCTATATTTTTATTTTAGAATCTCAATATTTCATTTTAAAATATTGCGTGCACAATCTATTATTCGTTAATTCTAAAATTGCTTGCGGAATCAAATTTTCAAATATTTAGAGGTGTCAAACCATATTTAAATGTTCTACACTATTTTAAATATTCCAAATTAAAATCTTTAAATTTTTTTTGTAGTTTATAAAATTATGAATTTCAAAAAACAAATTCTATGAAATTAAATATAACTATTCAAATAGTTATAAGGATCAAAACTCATTTCATCATATAATATATTATATTTAACCCGCTACCTATTATAAATATTTTTAAAAATAATCAAATTAGAGTATTTATAATTTTTAACTCTAAAAATATCAAGTAAAACTTATTTTAAATGTAGCAAATTAAAATATTTAAAATTTTTATTGTAGTATATAAAATTATACATTTCAAAAAAATAAATGTATGAAATCGAATATAAATATTCAAATTCTGACCCGTTGCTCAGTCGAAATTTTGGTTGACTTTATTTTTGTGTAAAAAAAATATATTACTCAAGTCTGAATTTTTGACCCGTTTAATTGTTTCCTTTATAGATTGAACAATTTATATGCGTTTTTAAAAAGGGAGACTCACAAAAATGCCCCTTTTTCAATACCCCTTTTCAAAATGCCCCTTTTGGCTGTTCATTTTTAAAAATACCCCTTTTTATGTACAAAATGACTAAATTACCCTTCTTTTAATAAAAGATATCACAAATATATAAGGAAATATAACAAAATTAGGTCCACAAAATACAAAATATTTTTTGGCGGGAAAAGTGATCCCGCAATTTTTCCCGCCAAAACACTTGTAAAACCTTTAAAATACCTTGTAAAATTTTCCCGTAAAATTTTTTCTCGCCAAAAAGTTTTTTTTGCGGGAAAAGTGATTCCGCAATTTTTTTGGCGGGAAAAATTTACAAGGTATTTTAAAGGTTTTTTACAGGGTATTTATAAGGTTTTACAATGTATTTTAAAAGGTTTTACAACGTATTTATAAGGTATTTATAAGATTTTACAAGCTATTTTATAAGGTTTTACAAGTTATAAGGTTTTACAAGTTTTTTATAAGGTTTTACAAGTTATAAATACCTTATAAAACCTTATAAGTACCTTGTAAAACCTTTTAAAATACATTGTAAAACCTTACAAAACACTTGTAAATACTCTGTAAAACCTTTAAAATACCTTGTAAATTTTTCCCGCCAAAAAAATTGCGGAATCACTTTTCCCGCAAAAAAATTTCTTGGCGGGAAAATTTTTTGGCGGGAAAAATTTTTACGGGAAAATTTTACAAGGTATTTTAAAGGTTTTTACAAGTGTTTTGGCGGGAAAATTGCGGGATCACTTTTCCCGCCAAAAAATATTTTGTATTTTGTTGACCTAATTTTGTTTCAAATAAGGGTAAAATGGTCATTAAAAATTAAAAGAAGGCAAACTTAAAAATGGACTCTCAAAGGGGGCATTTTTGAAAAGGGGTATTGAAAAAGGGACATTTTTAACAATTTCTCTTTTAAAAATTCAAATCTTGACATATGCAGAAAAAAATTTACTTTTTTTTTTATTATGTAAATGATATGATGATTTATTTGTTTCATATTAATATAATCATATAAAGATGAGAGGTGAAGTTTAATGATTAATAACAAATTAATATGGTAAGTTAGATATCAAATCTTATATGTTCATTTTGATTGGTCATTTAAAAAAATATAATAATAACAGATTTTCATTTTATAATTTAATTAAATTAATTAAATGATATAAATTAGTATTTTACTTGTTTATCCTTAATAAATTGAATGAAATTTGTTCTAAAAAGAGTGGCATTCTTAAATAAATTCTTACAAAAGTGAAGGTTAGTTAAGGGTATTTTATAAAGTGTACTCCCCAAATAATAGTATAGGATTCCCAGCAAATTACAATAGTGCCCCAAAGTTTTATTACAATAAGCTCTATCTCTGACCTTATCATCATCATCATCATTACTGTATTTCAAATTATGACAATGGAGTCATACAAAACCCTAGAAATCGTTCGCAAGAACTCTGATTCCTCCGTATTTAACCTCATCATCAACAGACCATCACATCTCAACGCCTTATCTCTCGATTTCTTCATCGAATTCCCCAAAGCTCTCTCATCTCTCGACCAAAACCCAGATGTCTCCGTCATCATCCTCTCCGGCGCCGGAAAACACTTTTGCTCCGGCATCGATCTCACTTCCCTCTCTTCAATCTCAACACAATCTTCGTTCGGTAACGATAGAGGACGATCAAGCGAGCAGCTACGCCGTAAGATCAAGTCGATGCAAGCTGCGATTACCGCAATCGAACAGTGCCGGAAACCTGTAATCGCTGCTATTCACGGCGCGTGTATCGGCGGAGGCGTTGATCTTGTTACCGCTTGTGATATTAGGTATTGCTCTGAGGATGCTTTTTTCTCGATTAAGGAGGTTGATCTAGCGATTGTTGCGGATCTTGGTACGCTTCAGCGATTACCGAGTATTGTTGGGTATGCAAACGCCATGGAATTGGCTTTAACTGCTCGGAGATTCTCTGGTGGTGAAGCTAAAGAACTTGGTCTTGTTTCTCGGGTTTTCGGATCTAAATCGGATCTTGATAATGGTGTCACTACGATCGCTGAAGGTAATCAATCTCATTTTGCTTTGATCTGTTGAATCTATGCTCGAATTTGATTTTGGGATGATTTAGGGTTAGAATCACGTTTTTTGATCTAATTTTTCGGTTTTTTCGTTTAATCAGTTGCTTATTAAGTGTGTTGATTCTATGATTGGTTTGCTTCAATTTTGATTCTGGGATGATTTGGTTTTTGAGGGAATGAGAATCGGAGTTTATCGATGTTTTCAGGAATAGCAGGCAAGTCTCCTTTAGCTGTGACAGGGACAAAGGCAGTGTTATTAAGAAGCAGAGAGGTGAGTGTAGAACAAGGTCTTGACTATGTAGCAACTTGGAACTCGGCTATGCTTATATCAAATGATCTCAACGAAGCTGTCTCTGCTCAGTTGGCGAAAAGGAAACCTCGGTTTGCTAAACTGTGATACGGTCTCTGTTGCTTCTTGTTGTTCATTGACGATATTATCGTTCTTCCGGGGAAACAAAGTAATAAGATTTTACTTCAAGGAGTTTCGCTGTTGATAGTTTCCTAATTACGGATTAGGGCTATAGATAAAATTGTCTTCTTCACATGAGAATATGATTAATACTCTGCACAGTGCGTGTTGGTAAATGCTATACCTCTTCATTCCTTTCACATGATATCCAGAAATCGTAGTATTAGGGATATGAGCATCGAACGGAAGACTTCTAAGCATCTTATAAGCTGATTTTGTTGATACAGAATTTTCCGGTTGCTCTGTTCCATGCAAATATTTGCCATGTTGATGCATGTTGTTTACTAATCAGAAACATCTCCATTTCCTTATACAAGTCAGATACCAACAGTGTGTAATTGGATGTGAGATTATTAGGTTAAGTTTTCAACGTTATTCATCTCCATCTCGCTCAGAAGTTCATTCACCATATCCTGGTTCTTAGTGGGATATAGAGAGGTAGCATAGAATGTATGGGAGTGTCAAGAGGAATCCGCGCTCTCTCATCTTCTCGAAAGTGGCCTCGTTTTTCGCAGAGGTTTCTCAGATCTTTGTACATGGTTAATAGGCCGTGTAGACAGTGTAGTCCTTAATGGTTTCGGCAATACCTTCAAAGAACTTCTCTGCTCCTTTTGGAACCAAAACTGCGTCTATAAACTGAATCCGAGATGCTATATCTCCCGTAAACATATTACAAACAAACCTAATGTGAAAAGGTCTTGATCAATTTCAACAAAACAAAGAATCGTATCAAATCACATCGAATCAATCGAAACTGGAGGGCATAAGACCAATTGTTTTCCCTTCCTCTCTCCATTAGCTTCTGTAGTAAACCTTTCAGACCATGAAGAAACGCAGATATTCAGACAAACCAGTTTCGTCTTCTAATGTTATAATCTCGAGACATTCAACAACAAAAGTCTCCATTAATGGACGAGAATATCACAACCGTTGCAGAGGATATCTTAGAATCAAATTATTGGTCCATGCTTCTGCCTTAAAAAAGAAGCCAAGACTTAGAGATTGTTGTGGCAATGAAGAGATTAGTCATGAAACAAACAATTTTTTTGGTCCGAATAAAACCGCATTGAGATTCAATAAAAAGGATGATGATCGTTTTCAGGATTCTTCTAATGGTAAAAACTGGAACAACTTGAGAGTATCATTGCTCCGACATGTTGAGGTGATTTATATTTACTCTTCTTGATTCTAATGTTATTGCTTATGGTTAGGTTGATGCAAAGACTAGTACTAGAGTTTAACAATTTAATTTGGATATATAGTGACTAAAAATAGTGTAATATGGTTTCTACATTTCAAAGAGTCGATAGAGTGCTTGTTCAGCTAGTTCATTAGTTGCAATCATGATTAGTAGCAAACCCTCCTTTGTAGAATCATTCAAACTTTCTTTGGCTATGTGAGTTAGGGATATATACGGACAATCTTACAGAAACATGAAAAATAAATCAATGTGTCTCATAGTTTTCTAGTTGCTACCGAGATTACTTATGTGATACCATCATCTTCAATTTGTACTATAATATTCTGTCACAAGCTTTAGGTTGTTCCTTGTTATTTAGGATCAACCACATCTAAATGAAACCGCTATGGTATATATCACTTTGTCTTATGTAGTTGAAGATCTGCTGACACTCCTCTTTTGCAATTTCCTAGGTATGACTGTGGGATGTTTATGCTTAAATACATTGATTTTTATAGTAGAGGACTGAGGCTACAATTTAGTCAGGTAATAAAAGATTTCAAGATCTGCATTTGCTTCTGAATCCATATCATATCTGGGTCAAATTAGAAGTAACACTACTTTTAAATATGATTGGTTAGCACATGAGAAACTTAACGTGTGTTTAGAATGTTATAAAACATGTTTTGTCTGAATTCTATCTTTTGCAGAAGGACATGCCAATTGCCATACTTCAGGTTAAGAACAGCAATGGAGATATTGAGACTGCGAGCAGACTAAATGTGCTTATTTTTGGTGACATCAGCTTACTATTTTAGGCAACAATGTTATTGAATAAGTTTCTTAGTAAAATCTATTTTGCTTCGGCTTTGGAGATTGCTAGATTCTCATCGTCATGGCTGCTTATTGTGACTCTTAGTACATTTTTTTTTGCCAAATAGAATTAAAGGTTATACCTTATTACAATGAATACTTTTTACAAACAGGTCTAAAAACCTAAAACGCTAAAAAGTATTGAAAACTTTATAATTTCGACAAAAAAAAAAAACTCAATAATAGATACGAAAAAGATCTGTAAAAACCGTTAAAAATATGACTTCACACATTTACATGTGCATTCACTTGCAAAAAATATGGAGTATATACACTGACGTAGCTGAGAATGTTTTATATGTGGAATGTGTAGAATGGTTAAGAATTTTTATGAGCCTTGAGTATCTGATTTTTCTTTCGTAAAGAAGTTGAAAAGAAAAATCGTTTTCCTCTATATATATACTTCGAAAAAGAAAAAAAAATAATAGAGGAGTCTGTGTTTGAGTTTTGGCTATCTATATTCTGATTCATTTCAAAATCTGGAACTGGACTTGGAATCTAGAAGCTTTAGGGATTAAAGTGTTTTGTCTTGGCTTGGTAAAAATAGTGAAAAGCTTCATGCTTTTTTTTGCCATTGATCTAGGCTCGTTCTTAGTAGACTATACTTCATATCCATTGCAGCCATTTCTGTAACGGTGGTTAGTCTTTGCTTTCTTGATGGTAGAATATTAGTCAGGTCTGAACTTCATTTGCATCTTGTGCTTGTGTCATGGATCCTTGGTTATTGTGGCTTTAGCCTCTGGTTCTGTGGTGTAGGCCTTAGATATGTTTTATGAGTTTTGATTTTGTTGCTGGATTAGATATTCAAAGATAGCAGAATCTCAATTTTAAAGATAACACCATTGATGATGCTTGACTTGTTCTTTCAGGAGTTGGATTTGAATCGAGAAATAAATACTTGTTTGGTAAAGTCTCTATCCAGATTAAGCTTGTTGAGGGTGATTCAGCAAGAACAGTCACTGCTTTCTACGTATAGAACAAAACCAATCTCTTCTTGCTCTGTTTTTAAGAACCTACTTTGATTATTATGTCTCTTACATTATGAATGTATTTCACAAAGTAGTGACGTTGGTTGGTTTTAAAGATAACATTATGGTCCATTGATTTGGTTTGGTATTGATATTTGGAGTTCATGTTTGCTAATGATGTTGGTTATTTGTTAAAATGAAAGAATGGGTAAGGATTGTATTTATTTTTGTATTTATTTTTCTTTGTGGTAGTTGTAGTTCTTATTTAAGTAAGGATTGAATTTTTTGTTACGTGATAGTATATCTTTAAACATGGTTTAATCTTTGATATAATCTAAAGTTGGTCTTGTCTATATACATATTTCAGGTATTAGTAGCTGAGTTTACTTTGATTTAATCAAGATGTTTACTATCATATGAAAAAGACTACTGATAAAATAGGAAAAACGGTCTATTTCCCCCCGAGAACTATCGTATCTGGCCAGATAAAGCCCGATCTTTGACCTCTGTCTATATACCCATGAAACGAAAGTTAAATGTTTATTTCCCCACCAATTGAAAGTTCGAGAGCTTAATGTCCATGAATCCTAAGTTCGAGATTTAAAACTCCATAGCGCTGGGTTTAATTGGTTTACTGTATACCAAACCGATGCTTTAACCAATTAAACCTAATTAGAACCAGCCTAAACCCAAATTACAACCCGTTTATGACCCACTACCCAAAAAACAAATCGAAACCAAAAATTGAAACCAAAAATCGAAAATCCCCAAATTGCTCTCGACGAACCCTAGAATCCCCAAATTACTTTGAAAGTGGTGGCCTTGAAATCAGAGATTGTGGAGTTACAGAAATCACTTTTAACATCTTATATATTAAGCTTATGATAGTGAACTGTTACAGAAATTCTCATGGAGGATGTTTGTTAATACATGGGGAACATAATGATGATAGACAAAAGAAATGTTCCGAGGCATTTTAAACTTTGAAAGTTGGTCTGCAGCCTTGTTATGTGTTCTCTCCACCCATTGGAACTGGATTCCTTCGAATTTGCTCTGCCAATATCTTATTTCTCGCAGCCAATTGTGAATACCAAAGTTGAGAGTCGATCCATTTAAGAGCTTGGTGAGTTCCTGACAATCAGCATCGAGAGATCCATGAGAGGAGTCCATCTCTGTATCACCATCATTCGCTCAGCAAAAGCCCATGGTCCTCTGCGGAGAACCATTTCCATGGATTCCTCAGAAGGAAAGACAAACTGAACTCGTCTGCCTTCCACAATTCTTCCGTGAACCAACCCAGCTTGGCCCCACAAACGAGGCATCGTCGCTACAATCGAGCGCAGGTTCTGTCTCCTTGGCATCACCGGACGGCCCATCAGGATGAAACGATTCTCCGCAGCCGCTTGATTCACCACATCAAAAGGGAGAGCAATCGGGGCATCATTGACACCCAAATCAAGTTCTTGAGAATTTGATTGGTTTCACAATTTTGGAGTCTTCTTTATTCTCCTCTGTTTCTTCAAGTAGCTGATGATGATGATGATGCCTTGAGAAGATCAAGAACTCCAAAAAAGAAAAAAAAAAAAAAAAGAACTCCACAACAGTTCTTCCACCATGGTGTCTCGACCTCACGATCACCTGCCGCTAGGAGTGGCTGCAATTATATTGAATAAGAGTATTATTAGACTCTTGTCTTTGTCTCCTATCTAATGTTGGCCCAAGATATATAAGAATTTGAAGTTTTCTGAAGTTTGAGAGTTCAGCTTTTTTAGGGTTCTTAATTTGAATTTGGGGATTTTGGGATTTTGATTTTTGGGATGACAACGACAATGGGTCGGGTTTTAATAAGGAATCGGTTTTTTTTTGTTAAGTTACGACCGAAACATAGTTCTGTGTCGGGTTTACGCACTAAACCGACGAAACCAAGATTCATGGACATTAAGCTCTCGAACTTTCAATTGGTGGGGAAATAAACATTTAACTTTCGTTT